ACACAGGTCAAAGCTACACCTTTAGAAGAGGTTAGACTGGGGTTAAATGTTATGACTGGGAACTGAATATGAATCAATACTTGACTTACTGAGAGTGTTTTTGGCTACAATGGAGCAGCTGAGAATGGAACTGATCCATAAAAATAATTAAATTAAACAGCATAACATTTCAGGTTCCATTAGGGTTAGATGCATCCATGTGCAGCTGAAGATTCTCAGAAAGCTTAAGAACTGTGGAAATCTCAAAACTCTGGCTGATCATAATACCAGATAGTCCTGCTACAAGAAACATGAAAACTAGACCAGAAGTGGAAATTCCTTCGTATGTAATTAAAGAAAATGAGATCAGGAGGCCACACTAACGTCTCTCATGCTTAGTTAGAGCAGAGGTAGAGCCAGGCCACAGGATCAGCTCTTTTGGAAGTGAAATGAATCCTCTAACAAGAGAATAATATTATTCCCCTGTTAGTGGCTAAAGTAAAAAAAATAAATTATGCCAGAAAACATATTATAGCATATGTCTGCTTCTAAATGCAGGGACAGATTTCTAATGCCTGCTGTGATCAGCTCCAGCATGGACATCACAGGAAGGAATACTTTGATGCTGTACATCTGATTCAGCTGCAGTGCACTGAAAGTGACGGCAGACATAGTCAAAGTCTATAACATTAACTGTGGCCCAGTACCCACACTAACCCGTCATTTTTATGGAATGTTTCTCTTACAATCAGATATTCATATTGCAAAGCTCTAATATTCAAACAAAACTAATTTGAAACTTGTGGTACCCAGGATTACTGGTGAAAACAACACATAATCTTAATATTCAGCCTTGGTATTGCCATTTAATTATTATTGTACTGTCACACTTCTACTCTGTTGAGGGAAAATGTCAGTTTAATATAATTAACAAAATCAGCCGTCAATGAAAATAATAAAAATGCTGCATCTACAGACTGTGGCCCCGGTTACAACAGTCCAGGTAATCTCAGGCTCTAGCAGCAAAAAATATGCTTAATAAGCAGTTTTTCTGCCATTAACCATGCTTTTTGTGTTTAATCTGATCAGATTTGTCTGGCATTGTACATACCAGTTACTCACCAGCCAGGATTACACAACAGAAACAAGATTAAAATGGTGATATAATCCCTTGAGTTTGGCATGAATTCTATCTTCACCTGAATCTGTTTTGAACTGCTGTCACAGTTTATCAGGGAAAATCTTCCATAACCCTGGAATTTCACAGTGAATGAGTTTTCTCATTCAGCAGGTAGAGGTGCATCTGTTATAGCTGAATGCTTTGCAAACAGTCGAGCAAGTGTGTGTGTGTGTGTGTGTACTGCTGCGAGTGTGTGAAAAGTCAAACGTGTATGTTGCAATATCTTTGCTGTAGTTCAGATTTTAAAGCTCTACAGCCTCCAGTAATGGAATTGTTCCACGTAACTTCAGTCATGGCAAAACATATTGGCACCCCTGCATCTCTGTCGGGTAACGCACCACTTCTCTCAAAAAATTGTCACAATCATAAATTCTTTGGCATTCTCATGTTTATTTCTTTTGCTTGCATTGGAATTACAAAAAAAGACTAATCTGATCCATTTCCCACAGAACTCCAAAAACGGACTGACACCTTTTCACAACCATCAGAAACAGTTGCATTTCAAGCAGGTGATGCTCCTTTAATCTGTAATTCAACTCTCCTGTAACAATCAACAGGTGCTGGTAATGTAGAAATCACACTTGTAACTAGTTAAAATGTTTTTTTGTGTGTTATTACACTGCAATCAAAAGAAATAAACATGAGAATAGCAAAGCATTTTTGCCTCAGGTATTTTTTGTTGGATTAGTTCCTTAAACAGTTCTGTAACTAAATGTATGTCATTAAAATCATCCTCTTTTTACACCAACTGTTGATTAATCTTTGCAGCTGAAGCAGTAAGGCAGAAACAAAAACAACATACATGATAGCGACCCAGACATAACTCTACCATAAATACAAGCATGCAAGCAAACATACACATACGCGACCCAGACATAACTCTACCATAAATTCAAGCATGCAAGCAAACATACACATACAGAGCTTCACGCAGATCTTTAATTTCATGAAAATCTTGTCCGTCTAAGATGGGAGACTCAGACTGACCTCTCTGACCTCCAGCTCTGAGGTGACAGATAAAGCCATGAGCCAGGTGACAAGCAGACCAGCTTCTGATCAGGCCCTAATATAAATGTTTGGAAGCCCTATGCTCTGTGAAGGCTGGTGTCAACTAATCTACTATACCTAAAACCTGATGTACAGAAGTAAAATCTTCCCTAGTTTACTTAACAACAAATCAGCATGTCAGGATACAAGCTCATTTTTAGAGGCCTCTGTTTTTCCTCAAGGTAACAAATCAAGTGTCTCTGTAGAATGCATATAGTCTTGTTGCTCTCTGTTGCATGCAAGAAACATACAGAAAACAAACAAACAAAAGGGATACATCTGGATTATTCACTTAAGCTGTTAGTGGAAATTCAACATAACTAAAATCAGATTAGGAGGCGTTAGGTCAAATCCATGACTCTGTGCCTTAACGTTAATTACTGAGAGTGAGGTGCACCGGGATGGAATTTAGTCACGTGGTTTGAAAAGTGTGGACGCAGAGAACAAACTTTCCCCTTATAGTATATCTATGTGCTGTATGTATCCATATCTAGAGTCTTCAGTGCGATTTGCGAGGCTTTGCTTGGCTATGCTATGTGACTTCTTCAATAGTGTGGGGCTGACAATTTATAACAGGGTTTGCTGATTGTCATGTGAGCTATAGACAGCAGCCCCAACCTGAATACTCCACATCATCACATCTTAGAAATCTTGGAAGCAAATGTACAGTACTTTGAGTACTTTTTCACTGATTTATTATTCCTGTCTCATTAAAACATATTGTAAATAATAAGGTGCCTGGTTTGTACAGGCACAGCAAGCTCAAATTTCACAATCACATCCAGCAACTTCCCAGAAGTTTCATCTATGAAACGCAGTAAGCAGGTTAGCCGTGCCCTGTGGATAAACAAGTCCAACTTTGGATGCTGTGACATGATCCAAAATAATTTCATGAAGATACTGGCACATTTCTGTCAGTATTTCTATTAAATAGAGTAACTTTAGGGTTAAAATTAACTTGTGAGTCCAACTCAGTCTTAGGTGTTTCTAGTCCAAAATGATAACATTCAATCTCTATAGTTAAGCTGTTAAAGTGGCATGTAAGTTCTGCTTAAAAGTAAATTTGACTTACTAAAGGAAAATCTAAAGGAAATTGTGATTTACCTGATAATTTGGATGATGTAGGAAATAATCCGGACATCCAGCCACAGCCATGTTTTATGTTTCTCGGTACTTTTGTATTATTTCCCCAGTTGGATCAGTTTCAAAACAAGGTGGACAGAGGAGAACCTGTAGAGGAAAAAATACAGACAAATGGAGGTTAGTGGAGAACTCCGAAGGCACAAGGGGGAGAAGGTCCAAGTGAGGCAGGGTGAAGGAAATGGAGGAAGACCCACAGTAATCAACATCAACAAGCAACAAGGGAGGAACAGTGGCTGGTTATACATTGTGAAATACTGGCAAAATAGTTGAATCTTATTCAAAATACACTTGGACATATCAAATGCTGTCTTAAAATGTTAGTTTGTGACAGGCTCAAATTCAGAAATAGCTGCTTTGCATTCTGACTAAAAACTTTGTTAAGGGGGCATAGAGTGACAATTCTGGGTCATTAGATTTTCACTGATCAAATCCAGCTTTCTAAAGAACTCCAATCAAATCTGATTTTATTTATAAGGCCCAATATCACAAATCAGAAATTTGTCTCAAGCAGACAAGAAGATGATGGTTCACTTCACTAAAATTACTGATATTACCCAGTAGTCATAATTGATCCTTCAGGTCTGTTGAGGCAGAGAAAAGAGAGTCACATTACAAACTTGATTAGAGCCGTGCAATAGTTTGTGGCATTATTTTTATTGGTGAGGGTAAAATGCATTCACTGAATTGAAAATAAAGCATAGTGAGCTGATTTACTCTGCGTTAAGCAAGGCTCTAGTATGGAACCTGAAGACCCTAAAAATGAGATCTTTCCCTCGTCCCAAGTCTACTTGGGCTTCTTGATTTTACCATTCTTACTCCTATCCAGCCGACAGCATCACCATACTTCAATATCACATTAATTAATTACTGAACAAACTGCTGAAATGCGGGCTTTGTAAGTTCACATAACTTTTAAGGTGTCCGTCTGCACTATGAAGTCTTCCTCCCGGCAATCCTTGGGTCAAATAACCACAAATTCAACAACACAGACTTCAGTCTATTTAGTCTTCTTAAAGTGGGTATCCTATTAACCTCAAGGCAGTGCTGCCACTGAACACCTTTAAACACTGACCCAAAAATACCCTGCAGGCACCTCTCCCAGGGTATATTTGGAGCCGAGCAGCTCAGACTCACAACTAAGATGGTCTTTTATGCAGCAGTTCATGACCCCCCTGTTGGTATTTTAAAAATATGTCCTGCCAATTTATATGCAGCTAATATTAACTCATGTTTGTATTAGCGGTTGTGAGTGGGCTACCCTTGCATATGTGTGTGTACTTCTGCCCATGCTTCTGCATGCATGTGTGTACCATATGTGTGTGTATGTAGATGATTCTGCGCTTGTGTGGCTGTGCGAGGGTGTGTATTTTTAAGTTGTGTATAGTATGTATAAGTATAGAGTTATGTTCTCTCTAGTCAGTGTACAATGACAAGGTCCAGTAGAGCCAACTATCACACTACAAACTTGAGCATTTAAGTGTAGAGCCAACTATCACACTACAAACTTGACTAAGCATTTAAGTGCAAAACTTTCTGGCAAAGGCAATGTAAAGATGAAGACACATTAACAGGAACCTTTTTTGCAGTAACACTCATATGGCAACTTCATCTATAAGGACTGCAATCACAAAGTTCGGCTTGATGAGAACTAGTTTGTATGAAGTGTGCTTATTATTTGACGCTTCAATACATCTGTTCAATTGCTACGCAAAGTGGCTGCACATTTCAAAACTTGATTTGAGAAAGCGTCAGTGTCAGTCAACAACAGAAAGGTATGGAAGTGGTTCAAGCACTGTACAAGCACTTCTGATAAAGTATACTCACGCAGTACGACTCTAGTGCAGAGAGCAAATAAAAATGTGTCATCATGTTGCAATCAAAATCATATTCTAACTTACAAACACCAAACAAAGAAAATAAATTTAAAAAAAACAATCAGAAACAACAATCCTAACAAATTTCCACATTTTTCTTTTTGTCAATTTGGCATCAGCAACTATAATTCTACAGTTTCCACCTTTAATGAGTTGTAGCTTATCCTGGAAATTGTGTCAGCTGATAACAATGTCACTCAAAGCTTTCAGGATATTTTTTTTAAGAACTAAAAAAGAAAGGAGTTTTTTTTTTATACCTCCAAAACTGGCCTGCAAATAATGACCAAACCATGAATACATTCTAAACAGAGTCTGGCACCATGATCACTAGGACCACTGAAAGGGCTTGCTTGTAACATGTCTGTGTGTAATACTGTCAGTCCATGCATGTGGCCTGGCTGGCTGGCATGCAAGGACAGCTCGTCATTTACACTTTATTTACAGACACATAGCTTACAACAAAACCAAGACAAATTAACATCAGCCTAAACTCTCCAAGCAGCCCCTCATTAAGCACCAGACTTAGTGACTAGTTGTGGCTTGTGTGTTTATTTCAAGAGTCAGGAGGTTGTGCAAGTGGGAAGGGAAGTAGGCATTGACTTATTAATATTCTCCCTTTCAACATCACAGGTTTAAGTTAAGAATTCTGCTTCAAATGTATGTGGTACAACACGAGAAAAGGTTCAGGTGTTCTGTGTAGTATTAAAATACAGTGGGTGTGTTCAATAAAGACATGAAGGATCATAGCTGTTTGTGTTTTATCAGCTTAGGAACACTGTTTGTTGATATTTGTGACTTTGGTGAAGATCAGATCACATTTCATGACCAATTTATGCAGAAAATGAGGAAACTGCAAACAGTGCCAATGCTTTTCTTGCGACTGTAGCTTGAAATCCATCTTTTGAAGCGTTCATACATACAGTGGCTTTCAGTGACTGACCAAACACACATGCACCTATGCTTAATTGCTCCCCGACACGATCAAAGCCATTCCAGTGCAGAGATTAGACCTTCTCATTCAGTTCCTTCCACTTGAACAGTGTATTAAAACCTAACCATCTCTGACCTTGACAGTACAATTATTCAGACAGCATCACCTCACTAGAAAGGGGGACTCCAGGGTGCTGCCGCTGCACCCAGTGGTGAGGTGATTGCATCTGGATTAATTAAAGAGATTTTTGTTCAGACTGGCATGAAGGATAATGTTAGCTGGTGGACTTCAAACGCGAGGGATTTAATAATGCCTATCGTGAATCATAAATCCTTTCCAGTACCAGTACCCTACTGGGTAGGATGTCACAGCCAATGCAGAACAGTCTACTGAAGGTGTTCTGTTCTGCTCCTAGGGTTTATGAGCATTCATCTGGAATATTTAGTTAGCACTTTTTATTTTAAAAAGTGTTACCGATTATGTACAAATCTGTCTAAACTGGGAAACTAGATCTGAAAGAAAATTAATAATGTGGTGACACAAACAGGCCAACTACAAAGCACTTCAAAATGTTTCTTTGCTTACAAATGCATTACCACGTGGGGATAATGTACTTTAGACAAAACACTGAGCAGGGCCTTAATGTTTACTGTGATGGATTAGCAATGTTATGCAAGTTTCCAGTTGGTTTTGAACTCATATAGCCAACAGAGAAAATGGATTGAGCTCACACACTGATTTAATGCCCCACAAAGTTATTTTTATTAGGCCAAATTACCATACAATGTTCCTATGTTAAGTCTTTATTAGGTATTTAAAACTTTCACTCTGACTCCATCAAATTGATGTCAGGTGTGACACCACACCCAGACCAATCGGCACAAAAACAACATGACCCAGATTTTCTCACACAACATTTTAACCTGCCCTCCACACTGCACTACAAAACCAGAAACACATGTCTACACACTCTGAAAAACTGCCAAATCCTGTTGCAATTATATCTAATGTGCTAATTGGTCTGGGTGTGGTGTCGCACCTGACATCAGTTTGACAGAATCAGGTCAGAGCATAAGTTGAAGATACCTGATGAAGACTTAACATCAAAACATTGTTTGTGTGGTCATTTTTGTGAAGTATTAAACCAGTGTGCAGACTATTTCTTTTTCTGTGATAGTATAACTCCTAGACCTATGTGTCTGATGCAAAGAATAAACTATTATGAATAAACTATAAACATTAAGACAGTCATTCAGTTAAGGAAACTCTACTTGAAAGTCAGTTTTATTTAACTGTAATAGTGTGAGTGCATTTGTTTATTATTTTAAATAAAATGTAAATAGCACTGCTGTGATTAAACTATTACACTTTGACCTCAGTGTTACATACTGTAATGGATGTTATACATATAAATGACAAGTCATTATTGAATTCAAATCTAATTTTGGCTTTTGAGAAAAATGACAAATAGCAAAGCTATAAAGGGTATCTGCTTTTGAACACGTACGTTTGGGGCCACGTGCTAGTCATTCTACATGTGCTTTTATCTCAAGGATTCAGATGTAGCATCCCTGGTTGATAGGCTAAGCCTTTCACTGAAGCCAAGGGCAATGCCTAGGATCACCAGAAACCTGGGCTATTTAAAGTAAAGCCTAATTGACACAGTAGGAACATTTTGCTGAACAGTTCACATGGTGGTGGATCAGTGAGTGACCAGCTCACCAGACCAAAGATGGATGTTCAGAAGACTTTACAGGGTACACGACTGGCTGTAGCCAATACCCCGGGGGTAAATATGACACACAGTGTGAGTGCATTGGTCCAGGAATGACAGCTTGTAAAAGCAAAAGATCAACTTCCAGGCAAACTTCAGGTTCTGTCTCTTCTTAAATGATAAATATACATTCTGAATCATATTTATTAGTTCTCATTATGGTTTCAAATAGGGTGATTACTTATTTGGGCCACAACTTCCTCCCATATTTAAATAACAGGTTATTAAGTTTTCCCTTCCTTAAGCCTTCCGAAGGAGTCCAATAAAAATACCTAGTGTGGGAAATGGAAATATTAAACTTTTAACCTCGCATACTGTATGTAGGCCAAACCTGAAATAAACGAGTGTCTTATACACTGCCCTGCCAAACATTCCTTGCAATTTAAGCAGTTGGTCTGACTTTTTTTCTCCCTCTGACTGTTTGTTGGTCTGGTTTGTCTGTCTTAACTGTCAACCTGTCTGTTTGTATGGTTCAGCTTTACTGGCTGTCTTCCTACTTGTTTTTTTT